AGAAGCCGTTTCTTCCGGTTAAGACTTAATGCTCTCCCTCACCCCCCGCGTTGGAATTTCGAAAAATCCCTTCTTATTGTGCATTCCCATGGCATTCCCTACTAAAACGCAGATAAAAACAAAAAATATGACACACTGCACAAATACACTCTTAATTTTAAATTTTCAATGTAAAAAAATTACTTTACTATGATTAAATATTCTGTTTTAAATTTCATAATCTTTGCTAAAATTTCTAAAATTAAATTCCTTGCTTAAAGAAATCTTATGCAAAAGAATAAAATTAAAAAAAAACTGATCCAAATCATTAAAAAAGAATCAATGCTTCATAAATTTATAAGAGGATGTCAAGAAAAATGTCATGTTATTTACATTTTGTATTCTCACACATAAGTTCAGTAATAAATTCAACAATAAAATGTAAAAATAAGGATTTTTTTAAATCTATATAAAAGGTAATCATCATATTTTAATTTTTTCAGCTGTTTACGGATTTTTGGAAAAGAACCACTAGATTTCTTAGTCTAATCATGACAAGCTTCTTGTGAATTTATATTAAAAATTAATTTAAACTTTCAAATGTTTACCTTGATTCCTTTATAAAAATTGAATTTATTCATTAGGACAAACTGTTGAACCAAGTTGTGTTTTTATTGATAACAATAAAGAAAATATATATTGTAAATATCAAATAAAAATATAAAAAAGGAAAACTTGAAATCTATGAAATTATTTAAAGGTGGTGGTGATGGTAATTTTTTCTGCTTTACAGATGATCATTTATCTCTAAAGCAGAAGAAAAAAAATCACAGCTGCTCAAAGAAAAGTAATACTACTTTTGTGTGTCTTTTGTAGTGTAAACTATATTATTTTAAATCACAAAGTAAATTTTAATAGTTTTTAAACATTTTTATACTGAAAGTTGATAATTTATATAGTGTTATCATAAAACTTAAGGCATATGAACAAATATTTATTAAATGTTTTAACATTAAAACAAATTCTGTATGTAACATAAACTTTTTATTTAATTAATTTAATTTTTTCAGGAAAATTTTATTCACATATTAAATATTTTCTTGATAAAGTCAATTAAAAATTTTTACATAAAGATTTAATGATTTTACTTTATGAAAGTATTTTACTATGTTTTGTCTGTTTTTTTTACTTTTAATATTTACTTTTAATACTTACTTTTAGTATTTTTACTGTTTTTTTAAAAAAAGCACTTAACTTCAACATAAGCCAATTTTATTGTTGTTAGATTAATAAAAGATTTGGAATCATCTTTGTATGTTAAAAGAAGAGATTTGTTCACAAGACAACTGAATTCAGAAATCTAAGGAAAATAAATCTGAACATATTAGAATCAATTTCATTAAATTCTGATGTAAAGCCATCTTATTGAAAAATAAATTGATATCAATCATAGAATGAAATGTAATTCACTCATTATTTAATTCAGTAACATTTTATTTAATTAATGTTTTTAATGACAATAAGAAATTAAAAGTTTCAGTTTATTTGTTTTGTTAATTACGACAATTCAGCACTTGGGCAATATTCCTAGGAGAATGCCTTCTGGGAGGTCTTTAAAGGGTAACTGGCCCCTATTTAGGCATTAAAGATGTGGAGAAAACCCAGAAAACTCCATGTGCCCAGCCTGTCCTGCCGAGGTGCAAACCCACAACCGAACTCCCAGTGTTCAGTGAACAGAACCGCTTGGCCACTAGTGGGCTACAAGTTTTAGAGTATAACAACTCCACTTAAGATCAGGAGAAAAACAAATGCAAAAATTATAGATGTTACAGGTTTTTATTGCTATGATATTTTTTAGGACTGTCTCCATATCCTCTTCAGACCATAAAGTTTTGAATAAAATGTTCAAATCTTTGTGAAGCATTCAATCATTTGATTTAAATTTTTGTGGCCTAAAGATGGGATGGAAAAGTCCCAAAAAACATTTTACCAATAAAAATTAACTCCTATAATTTTAGCATTTTTGTTTTACTCCTAAGAAATTACATATTATATCTTCCTTGTTCCAAAATGAATTCTTCTAATTAAATGGCTTAGCTTCACTCTATAATCATTTCATATCTTACGTTATACAATCTTTCAAGACTATCTGTAAATGATGTCATGCTAAAATTCCAAACTTTTAACCTCCCTCTCTCCCATGTCATTTATTGTCCATTATGAAAACATCCCCCTCACAAATGATGTCACATTGGTTGTCTGTCTTTACATTATTGTGAAGTAAATACACTATGTCAATTATGTAACAGATATTAACAAAATAATTTATTTACATTCTTATCAAAATAAAACACTACATAACAATAGCATTACATTAATCGAAATTTTAATTTTGCTATACCTTGCTAGCAAGTTATTTTTATTCCCACGGATTTGCAAGGCATTCTTCAAATGACAGAAGGGAAACATTAGACTGCAAAATTATTGAGCTATTATATGACCAAGTTAATGACTAGAAACTAACATGTCTAGAGATAGGCAGTTATGCCATCATCTCATGTTAATTTTAATAATTTATTATAAATTCGTTTTTTTTTATTTTAATATTTCTGGAAGAAAAGAATCAGCCAGAGTCGAACTCAAACCTTCAACTTCTAGAAATGTGAAACACGAAGTCACATTGTTGTATTTGAACTACGCTCCTCTCTGCAAAATGCGACATAATTTACGTACAGTCCCTTTTATATATCGGTAATAATCAAAAACATTTTATCACTATAACCACTTATAAATCAAGTGAACAGAATTTGTTTTGCACTTCGGCTTCCATTTGCCAAAAATTATTTTTCTTCACCTCATTATAATATGTAATTTAACTGATAGATGGTGTTGTTTGATTGTGTGGATCACCGCTAAAGTCAGAACAGGAGGAGGGTTTTTTCTCCACTATTTTTTATAAAATGTTTTTACATTGAAATTTTCTGGCCTCATTGGATATTTTTAAATTTTATTAATGGATAAGTTTATCATTTCACAACTCATAAATCTCTAAATAAAGAAAAAAATTAAACAAGTAAACATAAGAAAACGCCCTTCTTATTACCTTTTTTCTACCAACTCGTCTCTTATATTGCTCAACTTTTTCTAACTGATCCGGTCTCTGAAGCATATTAGCAACGTGTTTGGCCGCAGTTGCTTTCGCTTCGGCCTCTAATCCCGCAACATCCATTTTTAAGTTACGAGTCGTAACTTATTGTAAACTTTAGATCAGTTTGTATTCATCATTCGGGCAAAATACGCCCTCTACTGGGAGAAGGAGTCACTAAATTGCGATTCGTTACAATCGGAACAGACGACAGACGACGACCAAAAGTTCCGATCGTAACGAGAATATTTTCGGAGATGATATTTATAAAATCACATACCCATAAAATTTCGTGGTATAATTATTCGTATAAAAATAATTATTATTAAAAAGAAGTAACGTCTGGCTATTAACCGAAAAAACATTTGGCGATATTTGGCTATTTTTCGAGAAACTTTGATGTTAGTTTAAGTGGTGAAGCGCGTGATGGTTTGGTTCGAAAGTTTAATTGATGGTTTATAGAAATATAAGTAAAGTAGAAAATGAGCGACAAAAACAAACTATTATTAGAAACTAAGCAAATTGTTCGTTCGATTTTAATTTCCTGCCCATCGAAGATCAGCATTGGACAGTTATGTAAGGATTATCGTGATTTAAACGGGAGAACGCTTCCTTATACTGAGTTAGGTTATAAGACTGCCGAAGATTTCGTTAAAAGCTTGAATGATGTAGTTCGTATGGAATGGATGCCTGACATGAACGAATATGGATTAGGAGTAGTAGCTGATGCTTCCACTAAACATATCGAAAAAATGGTTAAAAGACAGAAGAAAAATACAAAAAAGCGTCATGTTGTAAAGAAAAAGAATGTTGCTCCACCACGTTACCAAGCGCATTGTAAAAGTGTTGCTCCATCGTTGAATGCTAATACCTTGAAGCCAAAGCCTGTTACAAAGATTGCATCGAAGGTTACTAAATCAAAAACTACCAAACCGAAAGGTAGCAAACCAAAAGAATACCCAAAAGATTGTCTTTTGGACATAAATGTAAGATTTGCTCCAAATTTTTGTGATAACATTAAGAAAACTTTAAGAAAAGAATTAAGCAATATGTTTCCAGTTAAGTTAAAAACCAAGATTGTAGAATTATTACATCATTTAGGAGGAAGTATTGATTTAAGAAATTTTTCGTATGCTTTCAAAGAATATTTTGGAAGTGATTTTCCTGTTGAAAATTTGGGGTTCCGCTCATTGACTGAATGTTTAATGTATATTCCCGATATTGTTAAGTTGGAATGTATTGGTTCTTATTATTTTGTAAAACTTAACCCAAATATTTGCAAACCAACTGTTGCTACTAATAATAGTTTGCATAAAAAATCCAATTCTGAACTTTCGGAACCGACTCCAAATACTGAGAATTTCAATTTGAAGCCCAACTTCGATTTTAGGATTAATAATAGTAAAACTGGAAATCTCGATACACGAGAAAATTGTAATAAAAAAATTAACGAAAATACAGTTTCTACATTAAAAGTTTTTGATATTTTAAGACTCAAAGCTGCAAATAGCAGTGCTTTTCAAAATTCAGATCGGAAAGAAATTGACAATTTAGAAAGTTTGAAACAAAATGTTGGTTCTTCAATAAATAAAACTAAATTATTTGATAATATACAAAGTAGTGTGGAAAAAGTAAATAAATTGTACAATTTTCACAAAACATTACCAAATGAGATTAAAAAGGAGTTCCAACAAGTTTTATCTTCTCATTCTGGAATTTTAGCATCTAAATTTCTCAGTGAATATTTTAAATTCACTGGAAAATGCTTTAAATTATCTGACTATAACTTTTTTGATATTATGGAATTAGTTTTTGCTTTTCCTGAGATATTTAAAGTTATTTCTTTACATAATGAAAAAAATGATTGGTTATTATATGCTTGCGATGAGTATGAGCCAAAAAATTGCCATAAATCAAATTGTTTAATTGAATGTTCTCAGGATTATACAGACAATTCAACTTTTGATAGCTCTCTGAAAGAAAATATAATAAATTTGATAAAATATTTAAAGAAGATTTCTTCAGATGATTTTGAAAAGATTTACAAAAATAAATTCCAAAGTGAACTTCCATTGGCAAGATTCGGCTGTGATAATATAGAATCTTTTATCTTTGAATTATCTAATAGTCTACCAATTGAATTGTCATTTGAAGGATCTACTTTATTCATTTCTTTATGTTCAGATTATCCATGTACAGAAACTATAAATCCTTATATTCCAGAATTAATGAATGGAATTCCTCAAGATTCAGTAATTCCAGGTGATAAATACACATTACAATCTCTTCCTGAGAAATTAACAGATTTTATATCAATTTCTGTGTGTGATATTGATAGCCCTGATCAATTTTGGATTCAACTTAAAGGAAAAACAACTTCTGAAAGTTTAAAAACACTTATGGAAAATCTTCAGGTAACATATAATAATAAAAAAAATGATAAATACCAGATGCCAGATGATTTTGTTGCAGAACATAATGTATGTGCTGTATTGTGGTCTTTCAATAACACTTGGCATCGTGGGATCATAACCAAAGTCCTTCATAAAGATCAGGTTGAAGTATTTTATGTAGATTATGGTACAAAATGCAAGGTATCAAAAAGATCTCTGAGACTATTAAAAAAAGAATTTTTGAGCTTACCATCTCAAGCCCTTAAAGGAAGATTATCTTATGTTCAGCCTATCAGTGGAATACACTGGAGTGAAAAAGCAAAAATTAGATTTTCAGAATTGTGCATGGATAAAGAATTAGTAGCACTAGTAACTAACACTCACTTTGAAGACAGAATATCTATTTTTCTATGCAATATAACAAATAATCAGAATATAAACATAAATGATATTTTAATTGAAGAAAATTTAGCTCTTCCATCTCTTGATCTTACAAATTCTAGTTGTACTGCTGAAAATTTTAAAACAGCAGATGTGTATGAAGAAAATGAATCTTATCAGTTGTGTGATGCAAACGAAGAATTTGATTTTAATATTACTAAATTGTTTCTTACAGAAAATAATGATATTCATGTCATTGTTCTAAATCAGAAACCATTTATATCCAATGGAGATATAGCTTCATTGTTTCAAAAGTCAGAAGGATTAGAGAAAGCACTTTTGGCAAAGAAAGCTCTAATTCCTTACATAATTCTTGAAAGATCTGATAATGAAAGATTATTTATGGAATTAAAACGAAATAAAGTGAGAGGAATCAAAGAACCTTGGAATAGTATTACTATTTATCCTTTTGAAAGTATAATTAATATTTTAATTTGTTTACAACATCCATCTCAAAGTCTAATGAATGAAATTGAAAAAAAAATAAAGGAATTTAAGAATAATATTGATAACACACAGATAAATGAATTAAAAGAAATTATTTATTATGAAGACAAGAAAAGAAAAGATATTATTCAAAAAATGTTGGATAATGGTGTTTGTGAAGAATATGTTGAAGAAGTACAACGTATTGAACAAAGAATTCACTTAATTACATTGAAAATAAAAGACTTAAAAAAAAGGCTTTCCTTATAACTTTTATTGAAATTAATTTTGATTTAAAAAAATTCAAAAATAGTTATTACTATTGTTTTTTTTTTTTTAGATAGTACAAGAATCAGTATGTCTTATATCAAGATATTTAAAGTGTTTTCGACGAATATTCAAATAATATATTTATCAAAATAGTTGAATAAAAATATCATAACAAAAACCCACAAATGTTGATTTTATTTATCTTATTAGTACAATTTTTTAAAATATGACACACTGCACAAATACACTCTTAATTTTAANTCATGGTCGAATGAGTGTTGCCAGCTAAAACACGTAAAAATAATATTAAAGTAGCCAAGACATAGCCAAATATTGTAGCGCCACATCACTAGCGGACATTTGAAATTTGCTGACTAGGACGGTCGGTTAACCGAGGCTCTACTGTATAATCAAAATTATCTCAGTACACTATTCAAATGAAATTGTCTCAAGTTTGGTTTGACCTCTCAATATTTTCTATCAATTTGGCTTTAGAAAGCAGGTATTAGATAATCTAACAATATTGCAATAGTACTAACTCGTGGCCTACCCAAAATCTGACCTAACATTTTGGCTTCAAAATAACCATTATTGGGTGACATAATAAGATATAAGATCATAACAGAATAGGTTTATGACCTTCCCAACTCTTTCATGTGTTCTTTAGGCCAGTTAATTTTCCAATTCAGATAATTAACCTCCTGGTTACCCTCAGAAGGTAAACAGCTATAATTAGACTAAAGTGCTTATTCAGACAATGTCATGAATGTGTGGATCCTTGGCAATTTTTTCTTTTTGACAGTTTTAATTGTGGACAATGTTTAGCTAATGTATCAATTTGCCACAATTTGTGTGTATTAATCGAAATTATATACATCTTCTGTATCTATTGCTTAATAGAACATTTAATTTATATTAATCATTCTATTAAGCAATAGATACATCTTCTGTATCTATTGCTTAATAGAACATTTAATTTATATTAATCATAAAATCAATATAAATATAACTGCAGCTGATTTTACTGATTAGAAATTAAAATTTAAATATAATATTAAAAATTGTCAAGGAATCAAAATAACTTACTTTAACAACTCTTAAATCTTCAATAACAAGTTGTCTGGTAACTTCTAAATGTCTTACCAACCACATTTTGTTCTCAGCTCGTTCTTCTAATTGATTTCCTTCAATTCTAAAATAAGGCCTTTTTAAAATTCATATAATTGAAACTTTTCTTTTAAATTTTCAAATCTATATTGTTATTACAAATCATATCAACATAAAAAATTTTGATATTCATTACATAATGTATATCTTTAAAATTTTGTTTGTTTTGTTTACTAATAACAATAAACATAGTAATACTTTCTATCTGCCAACTGTCAAGAGCATAAATTAATTATTTCATATCTTTAATCTAGACTTGTGAATTATTTCTCTTCAAACTGTTTTTTCTTTCTATGCAAAGTTTCTTGTAGGATTATTTCTACCTATNTGTGTGGATCCTTGGCAATTTTTTCTTTTTGACAGTTTTAATTGTGGACAATGTTTAGCTAATGTATCAATTTGCCACAATTTGTGTGTATTAATCGAAATTATATACATCTTCTGTATCTATTGCTTAATAGAACATTTAATTTATATTAATCATAAAAAAAATTAGTTTATTATTTTTCTTTTTTTTTTTCATTTTCAATATTATAACCAGTTAAAATTTTTAACATTTTTTTCCAGTAATTTTTTCATCAGTTTGTTTTAAAACATTTTTCACAAATTGCCATATGTGTTTGTAATATGTTTGTTTAGAATGTTAGTCAAATAGGCTAGCTTGTTAATGAGATTTATAGGTTTTGTATGGTAACCACCAAATTAATTAATTTCTCTATTTAGGTTTTTAGCTGGTGAAAACCATGGGTCATGTAATGGGTTAATAACAGTATCATTGAGTTACCACATCTCTTTCACATTCAGGAGGTAAAGTGAACTGATGGAGAGGAGAGCTTGTGAATTTGGGCAGAAGTTTTTTTGACAAGTGGGGCAATATTAGATAATGTTATTTTGAATTAAAGAGAGGCATTTATTTTTTCTGGGATTAATGTTAGTTACACATACTCGCTATAAAAATAACATGTGATTTATATAAATTAGAGAAAAAAATCTGTAAATAACTAAATTTCTTGTTTTGTAAATGGTGTGAAAAATGAATTTTATTCAGCATTATTTCAGTTTATTTTTTATTAATAGACTAGTTGAAATTCAAATTATGGTTATGTATGCATGGTTCTTAGGTTACATCCTTTTATGCAAATTAGGTACTGAACATGCAAGATCTTGCATGTGGATTGGTGTAGGTTAGATTTACACACTCTAAAAAACAAAAAAAATTTTAAATATATTTATTGATTTTACATACTGTAAAGCATTTTTAATGCATAAAATTTTACAAGTTCTTGAAATATTTTCTCTATGTCATTTTGTTTGGATTTTTTTAAGAGTAACAAGAACTTTGTATTTTGCTTACAAGTGTGCTTTTCAGGTTCCATTTTGATTGCATTTGAACAATTCAGTTTTATGTATGTCAGAAGTTTGTATAAAGAGATCAGAATCAAAGAAAGTACATTGGAAGTCCTTTCTATTTCAAATAATTCACCACAGTGGAAAGCAAGGAAAACACTACCATTTCAAAAGGCTATAGAAAACTTTTGTTTATGCTTTTCTTCTTTAATAAGATGTAGCAGATTACTTTTTATTTTATTTGTTTAAAATACTGTTTATTAAGATATTTTTTGGTTATTTAGAAAGTTAACATTTTTAGTTGTAGATATGTACTTAAGATATAAATTGAAATTTAACGCTACAAAGAACATAGCCATAGTTATTGTTGTCTTTTTATAGCACTATGAAATTGGCATTTTACAATGGTTTGAACATCAACACAACAGACTCCTATATGAAATGGCATGACAACAATATATGCTACCAAAGGACAGCACTGAGTTGCATCATGCATTGGCCATAATGGCTAACATATAAAAATGATTGGTAATATCTTAGCACATCTTACCTGGCTATGTTTCATACTTTCTTCACGAACATCTTGCAATCTTTCTGCTAATAATGGAATAACTTGAAAATTTCCTTCAATTTCTTTTAAACTAATTTGAAAGAAATTGTAATTCATTAAAAAAAATATTGATTTAATATATTCATACTCAATTAAGTTAATTATGAATATAAGAGAATTTTTATATTTCAAAATAAAGAGATAAAAAAAAATATAAATATCATTCACAAAATTTCAATATATAATTCCCATAAAAAATATGTGTAATGTTAATTATTGAAATAAAAAATAAGAAAATCTACAAAGATAAAAATTATGCAATAGTAGTATTATTTATAATATGAAAAGCTTGGTTCATATAGTGAAGAATGAATTAAACTATTTCCATCTTTTAATCTCTATTTTGGGATCAAATGCATTAACACTGTTAAAACAATCAAATTTATGAGCTAAATATTGTTTTAAGCTCTGAAAATTTCTATCTGTTTGTGAAGACTAAATTTTTTTACTCATCAGACTACAAAGGAATCTTGTATAGTAAGACTATTTAAACAACTTTTCAATTGGCCAATTTCACCTTGAACAGATTAAGCTGATTTTTACTGATTTCATGTTTAAAGAGTTAACAGAATATTTTCAAAGTTTTTGTTATGATAATATATTTTTTAGTGTTCATTTATTTTTAAATTATAAAAGTAAATTCAATTTATTTTTCAAAAGTATCTCAAGAGATATTAGAAGAATGATCATAGATTTCTTATAACCTGTAGAGTGTAATTTGCACGTTTTCTTTAAATAAGATATCAGCTACAAACAAGCAATTATTTATTGTGACATTGTCACATTGCTGAACTGTTTTTAATCATATTTTTTAAATTTATTTAATTTAAAATATATGCTCTCCACTTCAGATTAGTAGTGTCTTGCCCCTGTACATAATACTTTTCCCATTAGCAAGCACTAATATTTTCCTGTTAGCAACAGAGTCATGCGTCATCTATCTAACTCCTTACAGAGAAAAATTTTTTTAATTGAAATAACTTTCAGTTTGCATCAGAAGTTCATATACAGTTAATCAGGGCCTCCTGCTCTTAAGATTTCCAAATCTGGTCTTGGATTTCACCTATTTAAGTCCATTCTCAAGATTAAGGAAAGACAGATGGACAGCGAGAATTTATAGGTCTACAATTTTTTCAAATTGCAGTCCAACTAATCATAATAAAAATCAAATAATATACTATTCATATTTATTATTAGAGACTTTTCTATTATTGACCTGGCATTTGTCAAACCTAAACTACAGAAAAAAAAAATCACTATTTATTAAATATATAATTTAGTGTATTAATCATTTAAAAACAACATGTTAAAACTACAAATATGGAATTTATGTATTTATTTATATATGAAAATTACATACTTTGATTTAATATCTTGTATGTCCTGTAATGCTGTCTGCAACTGATTTAAACCTAATTTCACACCATCTAATTGTGTCTGCATGGCAGTTTTCAACATTGCTTCAACTGAGGCCTAATTTAAACAAGAAAAATTTTTTAAAATAAAAATAACAAATTGGCACAGATTTTAATCTCATAATTAATAAATATATTTTTAAAAAGTATATAATTTAAACAATAAATTAGTAGTAGTCATATTTCAGTATTATTTAACATAAAATTTATAATATAATATTGGCAATTTAATATAAATGTTTAATCCTCTAAATAAATTTTCCTTTCATTAAGTAAGGTAATTAATCTCACACATTAAAATAGTTATCATGTATATGTAAAATTAAGCAAAAAATGAAAAAGAAATATATGCATTTTCAATAATAAAATGTAACAGGAATAAAAATATCATAACAAAAACCCACAAATGTTGATTTTATTTATCTTATTAGTACAATTTTTTAAAATATGACACACTGCACAAATACACTCTTAATTTTAAATTTTCAATGTAAAAAAATTACTTTACTATGATTAAATATTCTGTTTTAAATTTCATAATCTTTGCTAAAATTTCTAAAATTAAATTCCTTGCTTAAAGAAATCTTATGCAAAAGAATAAAATTAAAAAAAAACTGATCCAAATCATTAAAAAAGAATCAATGCTTCATAAATTTATAAGAGGATGTCAAGAAAAATGTCATGTTATTTACATTTTGTATTCTCACACATAAGTTCAGTAATAAATTCAACAATAAAATGTAAAAATAAGGATTTTTTTAAATCTATATAAAAGGTAATCATCATATTTTAATTTTTTCAGCTGTTTACGGATTTTTGGAAAAGAACCACTAGATTTCTTAGTCTAATCATGACAAGCTTCTTGTGAATTTATATTAAAAATTAATTTAAACTTTCAAATGTTTACCTTGATTCCTTTATAAAAATTGAATTTATTCATTAGGACAAACTGTTGAACCAAGTTGTGTTTTTATTGATAACAATAAAGAAAATATATATTGTAAATATCAAATAAAAATATAAAAAAGGAAAACTTGAAATCTATGAAATTATTTAAAGGTGGTGGTGATGGTAATTTTTTCTGCTTTACAGATGATCATTTATCTCTAAAGCAGAAGAAAAAAAATCACAGCTGCTCAAAGAAAAGTAATACTACTTTTGTGTGTCTTTTGTAGTGTAAACTATATTATTTTAAATCACAAAGTAAATTTTAATAGTTTTTAAACATTTTTATACTGAAAGTTGATAATTTATATAGTGTTATCATAAAACTTAAGGCATATGAACAAATATTTATTAAATGTTTTAACATTAAAACAAATTCTGTATGTAACATAAACTTTTTATTTAATTAATTTAATTTTTTCAGGAAAATTTTATTCACATATTAAATATTTTCTTGATAAAGTCAATTAAAAATTTTTACATAAAGATTTAATGATTTTACTTTATGAAAGTATTTTACTATGTTTTGTCTGTTTTTTTTACTTTTAATATTTACTTTTAATACTTACTTTTAGTATTTTTACTGTTTTTTTAAAAAAAGCACTTAACTTCAACATAAGCCAATTTTATTGTTGTTAGATTAATAAAAGATTTGGAATCATCTTTGTATGTTAAAAGAAGAGATTTGTTCACAAGACAACTGAATTCAGAAATCTAAGGAAAATAAATCTGAACATATTAGAATCAATTTCATTAAATTCTGATGTAAAGCCATCTTATTGAAAAATAAATTGATATCAATCATAGAATGAAATGTAATTCACTCATTATTTAATTCAGTAACATTTTATTTAATTAATGTTTTTAATGACAATAAGAAATTAAAAGTTTCAGTTTATTTGTTTTGTTAATTACGACAATTCAGCACTTGGGCAATATTCCTAGGAGAATGCCTTCTGGGAGGTCTTTAAAGGGTAACTGGCCCCTATTTAGGCATTAAAGATGTGGAGAAAACCCAGAAAACTCCATGTGCCCAGCCTGTCCTGCCGAGGTGCAAACCCACAACCGAACTCCCAGTGTTCAGTGAACAGAACCGCTTGGCCACTAGTGGGCTACAAGTTTTAGAGTATAACAGCTCCACTTAAGATCAGGAGAAAAACAAATGCAAAAATTATAGATGTTACAGGTTTTTATTGCTATGATATTTTTTAGGACTGTCTCCATATCCTCTTCAGACCATAAAGTTTTGAATAAAATGTTCAAATCTTTGTGAAGCATTCAATCATTTGATTTAAATTTTTGTGGCCTAAAGATGGGATGGAAAAGTCCCAAAAAACATTTTACCAATAAAAATTAACTCCTATAATTTTAGCATTTTTGTTTTACTCCTAAGAAATTACATATTATATCTTCCTTGTTCCAAAATGAATTCTTCTAATTAAATGGCTTAGCTTCACTCTATAATCATTTCATATCTTACGTTATACAATCTTTCAAGACTATCTGTAAATGATGTCATGCTAAAATTCCAAACTTTTAACCTCCCTCTCTCCCATGTCATTTATTGTCCATTATGAAAACATCCCCCTCACAAATGATGTCACATTGGTTGTCTGTCTTTACATTATTGTGAAGTAAATACACTATGTCAATTATGTAACAGATATTAACAAAATAATTTATTTACATTCTTATCAAAATAAAACACTACATAACAATAGCATTACATTAATCGAAATTTTAATTTTGCTATACCTTGCTAGCAAGTTATTTTTATTCCCACGGATTTGCAAGGCATTCTTCAAATGACAGAAGGGAAACGTTAGACTGCAAAATTATTGAGCTATTATATGACCAAGTTAATGACTAGAAACTAACATGTCTAGAGATAGGCAGTTATGCCATCATCTCATGTTAATTTTAATAATTTATTATAAATTCGTTTTTTTTTTATTTTAATATTTCTGGAAGAAAAGAATCAGCCAGAGTCGAACTCAAACCTTCAACTTCTAGAAATGTGAAACACAAAGTCACATTGTTGTATTTGAACTACGCTCCTCTCTGCAAAATGCGACATAATTTACGTACAGTCCCTTTTATATATCGGTAATAATCAAAAACATTTTATCACTATAACCACTTATAAATCAAGTGAACAGAATTTGTTTTGCACTTCGGCTTCCATTTGCCAAAAATTATTTTTCTTCACCTCATTATAATATGTAATTTAACTGATAGATGGTGTTGTTTGATTGTGTGGATCACCGCTAAAGTCAGAACAGGAGGAGGGTTTTTTCTCCACTATTTTTTATAAAATGTTTTTACATTGAAATTTTCTGGCCTCATTGGATATTTTTAAATTTTATTAATGGATAAGTTTATCATTTCACAACTCATAAATCTCTAAATAAAGAAAAAAATTAAACAAGTAAACATAAGAAAACGCCCTTCTTATTACCTTTTTTCTACCAACTCGTCTCTTATATTGCTCAACTTTTTCTAACTGATCCGGTCTCTGAAGCATATTAGCAACGTGTTTGGCCGCAGTTGCTTTCGCTTCGGCCTCTAATCCCGCAACATCCATTTTTAAGTTACGAGTCGTAACTTATTGTAAACTTTAGATCAGTTTGTATTCATCATTCGGGCAAAATACGCCCTCTACTGGGAGAAGGAGTCACTAAATTGCGATTCGTTACAATCGGAACAGACGACAGACGACGACCAAAAGTTCCGATCGTAACGAGAATATTTTCGGAGATGATATTTATAAAATCACATACCCATAAAATTTCGTGGTATAATTATTCGTATAAAAATAATTATTATTAAAAAGAAGTAACGTCTGGCTATTAACCGAAAAAACATTTGGCGATATTTGGCTATTTTTCGAGAAACTTTGATGTTAGTTTAAGTGGTGAAGCGCGTGATGGTTTGGTTCGAAAGTTTAATTGATGGTTTATAGAAATATAAGTAAAGTAGAAAATGAGCGACAAAAACAAACTATTATTAGAAACTAAGCAAATTGTTCGTTCGATTTTAATTTCCTGCCCATCGAAGATCAGCATTGGACAGTTATGTAAGGATTATCGTGATTTAAACGGGAGAACGCTTCCTTATACTGAGTTAGGTTATAAGACTGCCGAAGATTTCGTTAAAAGCTTGAATGATGTAGTTCGTATGGAATGGATGCCTGACATGAACGAATATGGATTAGGAGTAGTAGCTGATGCTTCCACTAAACATATCGAAAAAATGGTTAAAAGACAGAAGAAAAATACAAAAAAGCGTCATGTTGTAAAGAAAAAGAATGTTGCTCCACCACGTTACCAAGCGCATTGTAAAAGTGTTGCTCCATCGTTGAATGCTAATACCTTGAAGCCAAAGCCTGTTACAAAGATTGCATCGAAGGTTACTAAATCAAAAACTACCAAACCGAAAGGTAGCAAACCAAAAGAATACCCAAAAGATTGTCTTTTGGACATAAATGTAAGATTTGCTCCAAATTTTTGTGATAACATTAAGAAAACTTTAAGAAAAGAATTAAGCAATATGTTTCCAGTTAAGTTAAAAACCAAGATTGTAGAATTATTACATCATTTAGGAGGAAGTATTGATTTAAGAAATTTTTCGTATGCTTTCAAAGAATATTTTGGAAGTGATTTTCCTGTTGAAAATTTGGGGTTCCGCTCATTGACTGAATGTTTAATGTATATTCCCGATATTGTTAAGTTGGAATGTATTGGTTCTTATTATTTTGTAAAACTTAACCCAAATATTTGCAAACCAACTGTTGCTACTAATAATAGTTTGCATAAAAAATCCAATTCTGAACTTTCGGAACCGACTCCAAATACTGAGAATTTCAATTTGAAGCCCAACTTCGATTTTAGGATTAATAATAGTAAAACTGGAAATCTCGATACACGAGAAAATTGTAATAAAAAAATTAACGAAAATACAGTTTCTACATTAAAAGTTTTTGATATTTTAAGACTCAAAGCTGCAAATAGCAGTGCTTTTCAAAATTCAGATCGGAAAGAAATTGACAATTTAGAAAGTTTGAAACAAAATGTTGGTTCTTCAATAAATAAAACTAAATTATTTGATAATATACAAAGTAGTGTGGAAAAAGTAAATAAATTGTACAATTTTCACAAAACATTACCAAATGAGATTAAAAAGGAGTTCCAACAAGTTTTATCTTCTCATTCTGGAATTTTAGCATCTAAATTTCTCAGTGAATATTTTAAATTCACTGGAAAATGCTTTAAATTATCTGACTATAACTTTTTTGATATTATGGAATTAGTTTTTGCTTTTCCTGAGATATTTAAAGTTATTTCTTTACATAATGAAAAAAATGATTGGTTATTATATGCTTGCGATGAGTATGAGCCAAAAAATTGCCATAAATCAAATTGTTTAATTGAATGTTCTCAGGATTATACAGACAATTCAACTTTTGATAGCTCTCTGAAAGAAAATATAATAAATTTGATAAAATATTTAAAGAAGATTTCTTCAGATGATTTTGAAAAGATTTACAAAAATAAATTCCAAAGTGAACTTCCATTGGCAAGATTCGGCTGTGATAATATAGAATCTTTTATCTTTGAATTATCTAATAGTCTACCAATTGAATTGTCATTTGAAGGATCTACTTTATTCATTTCTTTATGTTCAGATTATCCATGTACAGAAACTATAAATCCTTATATTCCAGAATTAATGAATGGAATTCCTCAAGATTCAGTAATTCCAGGTGATAAATACACATTACAATCTCTTCCTGAGAAATTAACAGATTTTATATCAATTTCTGTGTGTGATATTGATAGCCCTGATCAATTTTGGATTCAACTTAAAGGAAAAACAACTTCTGAAAGTTTAAAAACACTTATGGAAAATCTTCAGGTAACATATAATAATAAAAAAAATGATAAATACCAGATGCCAGATGATTTTGTTGCAGAACATAATGTATGTGCTGTATTGTGGTCTTTCAATAACACTTGGCATCGTGGGATCATAACCAAAGTCCTTCATAAAGATCAGGTTGAAGTATTTTATGTAGATTATGGTACAAAATGCAAGGTATCAAAAAGATCTCTGAGACTATTAAAAAAAGAATTTTTGAGCTTACCATCTCAAGCCCTTAAAGGAAGATTATCTTATGTTCAGCCTATCAGTGGAATACACTGGAGTGAAAAAGCAAAAATTAGATTTTCAGAATTGTGCATGGATAAAGAATTAGTAGCACTAGTAACTAACACTCACTTTGAAGACAGAATATCTATTTTTCTATGCAATATAACAAATAATCAGAATATAAACATAAATGATATTTTAATTGAAGAAAATTTAGCTCTTCCATCTCTTGATCTTACAAATTCTAGTTGTACTGCTGAAAATTTTAAAACAGCAGATGTGTATGAAGAAAATGAATCTTATCAGTTGTGTGATGCAAACGAAGAATTTGATTTTAATATTACTAAATTGTTTCTTACAGAAAATAATGATATTCATGTCATTGTTCTAAATCAGAAACCATTTATATCCAATGGAGATATAGCTTCATTGTTTCAAAAGTCAGAAGGATTAGAGAAAGCACTTTTGGCAAAGAAAGCTCTAATTCCTTACATAATTCTTGAAAGATCTGATAATGAAAGATTATTTATGGAATTAAAACGAAATAAAGTGAGAGGAATCAAAGAACCTTGGAATAGTATTACTATTTATCCTTTTGAAAGTATAATTAATATTTTAATTTGTTTACAACATCCATCTCAAAGTCTAATGAATGAAATTGAAAAAAAAATAAAGGAATTTAAGAATAATATTGATAACACACAGATAAATGAATTAAAAGAAATTATTTATTATGAAGACAAGAAAAGAAAAGATATTATTCAAAAAATGTTGGATAATGGTGTTTGTGAAGAATATGTTGAAGAAGTACAACGTATTGAACAAAGAATTCACTTAATTACATTGAAAATAAAAGACTTAAAAAAAAGGCTTTCCTTATAACTTTTATTGAAATTAATTTTGATTTAAAAAAATTCAAAAATAGTTATTACTATTGTTTTTTTTTTTTTAGATAGTACAAGAATCAGTATGTCTTATATCAAGATATTTAAAGTGTTTTCGACGAATATTCAAATAATATATTTATCAAAATAGTTATTATTAATTTAGAATTTTTTTAATTAAATGTTTTTTCAACAGTTTTGTTAAAACAGAAATAAATGAAACAATATTTGTATTTAAAAACTATTATTTGGATTTAAAGTTTATTGGATCAGAACTGATCTTTTTGAATAAAAGTGCCTTAATGTATAAATACTGCTTTCTGAAATACTGTTAACAAATCTTTCATATCAATTTTAATTCCATTTATTCAGCATTTTCGGTTTTTTAATATCAATAGTTTATAAGTACAATAATAAAAGATGTATGATTGATTTTGAACAATAAAAGAACAATTGTATTTTGATACATTCAAAAATCTTAGACTTATTTAATTAATTATACAAAAATGTTTTTATTACCAAAGGATAGTTTTTCTTTCCTTCAAAATATCCACTTTTATAATTATCTTTTGTCGGTGGTGAAAAGATACTGGAAATAATTTTTAAGTCACTTCCTTCAATCTTCAACTTTGCTACCACATTTTTATGTCATTAGTATTTGTGAAATATTGTTCCTTTTAGCCACTCTTCACTTATGAGAAGTGATAATCTCAGAACCAAGTTTAGTTTGAAGTGACTTTTCCATTGCTACTCATTGTATTTACCTATAAATGATCAATATGATAGAATACTGTCACGAAGCAAGCCAATTGAAGAGTGCTATGCCAAAAGTAATATCTACTTTTCCAAATTTTTCACAAAGTGGAAAATGTTTATGACTTCTTACAGCACCATAATCTTTTTTCTGTTAATCTTTCAGTTCATTAAAATACTATAAAATTTAGCTTGATAATGCTAGAAAATGTAAGGCAGTGTTTTTAAATTATTTTGTTTGAGTAAGAACAGTTTTAGAATAACACACTGGATTTGGTGAGTTTTGGAATATTGATGTGAAACAAAGTTTGAAACAGAAAACGATGAATTTTTTAATAGAAGGAATCAAATTTTCTTATACAGGTAAAACTGCTATTATATAAACTGTATATAATTCCCATTAAGATCAAAACTGACATGATTAAGTATGTATATTTATATACTACTAGCTGTTACCCGCGACTTCGTCAGCGGAGGTTTTGCAAGCAAACCCCATTTACATCCAATATTTCAATAACCATAGTAATTGTTATATAACACCTACCGCTGAAGAGAATTGCCGAAAATCAAACGAACTATTTTCAATTTGATCAATTTTCTGAAACGTTTACAATCGTTCTATAATCGAACCAATACGCAATAACAAATTCGAATTTAAAACAGTTCGAACATTTTTAAAATTGAAATATATAAAAATATTTAAACAATGTCTGAAATGTGATCAATTTAATACACCTAAGTACTCGATGAAGACTAAACGTA